GAAATTATTCAATTACTGCACAGTTCGCGCGGTGGCTGGGCAACTGGCTAACACGCAACGTGGCGCGGGATCGATTCCCACACGGAACAACTCTTTGTGTGATCCACAGATTGTTGTTTCGGGCCTGGGTGTCATGTGCATGTGACCTTGTTTGTTTGTAAACGCACCCACGACACAGGAGACAATCCTAGGATACTAGGATTTATAGGATTTTTAGAATCCTAGTGTGGGGCAATATTTAAAAAAGAAATCAATTTAAACATTAATAAATCTACAAGTTCAAATCAGAATAATACTTAATAGTAGAGGAAAAATAACAATTCTGAGAAATTGATGGAAATCTCAGTTCACAACGATTACAAGTAATTATGTATACGATTGTCATACAATACTTCAAAGTTGCTTGAATAATGAGAGTGACTCCACGTGGTTCTTTGTTTTATGTGGTATGTGGAATTAGCCCTTATTACGAGGTCATTAGGGTTTAATTGTGATTATTTTATTGTAAATTTTGCCTATAGATATCATGCAATTCGGCTTACTGAATACCTATCTCTAGAAAATTGTGACACCAAAAAGACAAGCTTTAGTTTTGCATTAGAAATAGGGTAGTTTCCTAAATTTTATTTTAATGTCCGTCTGGTACATTAATTTAAAACTTTAGATACGTATTTTTTCTTTTCTCACAAAATTAAGTACTTTCGACGATATATTAATTTGATATCGTGTGACGTCACAGCGTGCTACATTTTGTAGCACGTTATGACGTGACGACCTCCCACTCCTAAACTTAGCGCCATTTTATCTCAGTATTGTAACTATATGCGAGATAATAAAAAAATACGTGTCTATTACTTTTCATTATCCAACTGACGGACTAATTAGATTTTTAATTCTCATACCCTGGAAATTACCCAATTATATTTTATACAAATACTCAAGCGCTACTAAATTATTGGTCGGGCCTTTGTGCCATTTTACAATTTCTTTGTAAAATGACAGAGATAGCACGATATTTTCTACCTTTCAGTATTCGTGTGTTTATCACTTGGTACACTGACCAGCAGTTCAACCAACACCGTTCTGTCAAATGATTTTATTACATTTTCAACTTTATTGTTTTGACATAAAGTCGGAAATACTATGAAAACTTTCATGAGGCATACTGACTTAATTATTGTGGTTTTCGGCTTACACACGTAATTATTTGACGAGGAACCCGACTAGTATCAAGTCATATTCATGAGCATTGTTGCAGCAGATTGTCGCCGCGTAGAGGAGCAGCGCGACAGTCACCGCGTCGCGGGTCGCGGACTGCTGCTCATGAATATGAGCCTCCAGCATGGCTTGAAACTAGTCGAGTTCCTCGTCAAATAATTACGTGGGTATACAATAATGAAAAGTTTTCAGATTGGAGTAGGTTTATCTGTTGGCCTCTGTACTTGAGTTAGTAGAATCATTGTTTAGGTAAATTGAATGTGTTAAGTACTCAAGTGTGAGAAAACAGTGTCTGTTTTAACGAGGGCATAGGCAGAGGGCATGCACAATATGGTACTTAATGCCGCTGTGCAATGTACCACCCATTTTTCACTATTTAAATTAAGGCCCAAGTAAGGGAGCAATCCTATTGTCATATACCGGGAACAATTACAGACTCCGTGCTACTACTGAGATTTTATTTAAAACCCAGTAATACTTTGCCCGACCCGGGAATCGAACCTGAGACCCCTTGCCCGGCAGTCGCACACGGAAAAAGAAGAAAACTGAATAACCTTTTGATGAGTAAGAGACGTAAAATTGGGGGTAAATATTATTGACTCAAGCATAAGTAACAAGTACCTATTCAGACGTGCTAACCTATTTGATACAACCGCAAGTCAACCTACACCGATTTAACAATTTTTTTACTGAATTTTCAACTTTATATTAAAACAATAAAAGTTGAAATTCTAATAAAAAGAAAGGTGTAGGTTGACCCGCTGTTCACTGTACAATGACACACGATTGTCTATGCGTCACAACCGCATGCACGGATGACGAGTAGGAGGCAAAGATCACATTTGCATCGACAAACAACAATAATAATATTAATAAACGTTTTCGTTTTACCTTGCTATCTTTACTTTTCATAACTGTACAAAGTAAATTAACCAATGAGGATTCCTATTATACTATACTCTGATTGGTACAATCGTTTGGGCGAAAGGCTGATTGGTTTAATACCTTGGGAATTGTCTCCCGTCAGCCTTTGATAGTGCAGAGATGACAGTAGCAAATGATTAAGTAACCTTTATTAAAAAGGGCGCCCTAGACGGACATATAGTGACCAGATTGGAAATATAATAAACAAATTAAAAGTACCCTTAACTGACGAGCATGCATGAAAAGATTGATGACTGTTAATGAAGCGAAAGAGGTATGTAGGAATCGTAATAATTGGCGTTCCCTAGTCTCTGCTTACCCCCACGGGAGACAGGCGTGAAGTTATGTATGTATAAAAAAGAAATGCACTATTGATTCCCGCATGTAATGATTTTGTAATGCTAAAAAAGGTGTTGAAATGTTTAGGTACATGATGACAAATGATACAGGAAAACTACCTCTATAGTGTGCAATTTATTTAAAAAGGATTCTTTGAATTAATGTGCTGTTAATTGTCTTTTAACAAAATCTACATTCATTTTTTTAAAGTATACTAAACTAACCTAACATGATTATTTAATTTTTCAGTAAAAGGTATCGTTTCAATGATATAATTTTACAAACGACGCCAATATAGCTACGATAAGCTATGACTATACCTATGTAACCTCAATAAAAACTACTAATAAGCTACCAACAATTCTAATAGTTCGCACATACCTACATTACCTCTCGACCGAAATATCAGGCATCTTGACCCGAAAACCGAACCGATTCTAAGTGCCCCTCTATAAATAAATCGTTGTTGCGTCGTAAATACGGAATTAGGACCTTTTCCTTAATCCTAAAGACGATAAGTCGATACAAAATGTTACTGCTTACATGGTATTTTATTTGTTTATACATTTGTAAGATATCAGCATTTCAAGATACACCCTTTGGTTAGCGAACTTCATTGGATTTGCAACTTTAAATCGAAAGGTTAGAGTTCAAAATCAAGAACACTAATTATTAAGGTGCTTGTATATAAACCTGAACCTTTAACTACCGATGTCTACTCACCCGCAATGCGCGGAGATTGTGACAAACCCCTTTTTTGTAGAAGAGGTTCCATAGTCCACCAGTGTACTGCCCAAGCGGTCACCGGTGACCGCTCTCCACTTACTCCATTATAGACCTTATTTCTGACGTTTAGAGACTACTTTTGTATGAACAAATGTTGTGGATTTTTCATAATCGGGGATTAGAGGTTTTATTCAGTCGGTTGTATGTTTTTAAGGTAGGACAAGAAATGTCTCCACTCACTCACATCTTTTGTGTCGGTATCTTACTGACAAAAACCGTTTCAACTCTTGGTTCGAATCGGAGCCACGGTAACCCTTGCAGTTCTCCGCAGCTCCGGTTGTATCTTACATCACAGCTTATAAGTGGCTACTGCTGACCAAAGACCTCTTCTCACATGGAGAAGATTTGAGCATTAATCACCACGCTTGCTCAATATGGGTTGGCGATTTCAAACGTATAATTAGAAATTATAAGCCCAGGTTTCCTCACGATGTTTTCCTTCACCGTTTTTCAGTGGTTCTGAATAATCTTAGGTTTTGTCATACATGGGGCATAATTCCAGATACAGTACAGTCGGAGAATGTCCAAAAACTGTACAGTTATCATTAAAATGATGTCCAGAATGATTTCCATTTATTACTATAACATTTTGTGGTCATAGCTTTAATTACGATTGGGTAATGACGTTCCTTATCAGGTTTTTGTGTAGATGACGTGATTCTCCTAATAGGTGTTGTTGTAGAAACGTATTAAGAAGTTAATCTGGTTTGTTTTAAGGCGAAATATTATTCTGTGAATAATATATTATTGTGGATCTTTATTTAACAATGAGCTGACACTTCTTTTAGACATAAATGTGAAAGATCATGAGGATGTATGTTAGTCTTTAAGGCTAAAATAACTAGGCAGATCGTAATGAAATTTGGCACAGAGATATAGGTTTATAGTCTGGATTAACATATTATAGGCTACTTTTTATTTTGGTATTACAACAAAACCACTGTCGGCTTATCGTATCTATATTACTGATTTCCGATTATGTTATTAGGCCCTTATAATAAGGTTTAGACTTTAATCTTTTTGACCATGAAGTCAGATATAAAAATTTAAATATGAGTCCAGTGAATAATTTGTCAGGTACGGGAACAAAACATAAGACACAATGAGATTGGGACATCGCTGTAGTCCATCAGGCACTATAGCAGAATGCCTTTGACCTCGTCATTTCGTATATCCTTTAAAACTATAGAAGATTCTAGATAGCGAAAGTTTCTTTTAAAAAGAGCCAAGATGATATTTTGTTCCACGTTTAAATATCTAGGCTACTGGTCTATGCACTGTTATGCCAGTTTACCGTTTTAGAACGTGGAAAAAACTCTTCTAAATTCAAATGGGTTTTGTTTTTAATTCGGTTAAATTATGAATTTGAAACTCTTTGGTTTGAACGTTTTTCTTTGTTTATGATAACTGTCATTTGGTTACTTGAATCAGATATTTAGACAATTATTAAAATATCCAAAATGACGTTGTTTACATCTCACACTTAATATCTCCAAGCCGGAACTATGCAAAAATGAAATGCATAAGGTCTTCGATTGCTTTGCCGAATTAAATAATAAAAATGCTACCTCAATAAACCGGTCCACCACCATTTTGACCGCAACAGTGGCATTCGACTTGATCACTCAGTAAAAACTTCCTACATGTACACGTATTAATTAAAATACACATACAAATTATAATTGCACAGTTATTAATGACACAAACACTATATTTTTTATCACAATTCTTACCATTTTAAAAGGAATTTTCTCAGATCTCTATAAAAAACGACTATTTGTATGTCTGCACACAAAAAAATGTTTTTTTTAAACGATTGGCGACGTGCGCCATCCGCGGCGGTATCTGTAAGAATGACAAAAGAAAATCATAGCAATAATCTTAGAGGTCAAGTTTACGATAGCCACAAGAAAGAGATGCAAGATTTTCAGAGGTGGTGTGAGGGAGATAGGTATATGTTGATTGGTTTGTCGTTAAGTGAGGGTGCGCGCACGCAAACCTGTTAGCAATGATCATCAAAACTGTTATGGAATTATGTATAATTAAATGCAGTGTGCGTACATAGTTATATTTTATGGAGTATATAACGATTTTAGTTCTTCAATCGTCTAAGAAGGAAATATACATAGAAAAATTAAGATGAATCACATACGGAACCTATGAATAAATATCTTCATATTTACATACATAATGTATAATTTGAAGCGCTTATTCGTTAGACATTCCTTTGTAAATACATAAAGTTAAGCAACCTTTATTGCGGTTAAATGTTGGATGGGTCATCAGTTTTTTACGAAATAACATTTTATTGACATCGGAATATCTTGGGTCATGGTTACTTCAGTTTTTAAGGAAAAATTTAATCAATATTGAAGCACCTTAGGTTTGTTTCATATTCTCCGGTTTCCGGGTTACCGGTGCCGGGTACCTGGTGGCGAACGGCCGATATTTTTTTTTAAGGGGGATAATCATCGAATGACTGCTCCCGCCTGGGTGAGGCGGGAGCAGTCTCCTGCACGTCGAGCTGGAGCCCTGGTAACCCGTAAGGTGAACGGCCGATATTAATAACCGATTTTTAACTAAATTTTCTATATCGGTTTAGGTTTTTGTCTAGCTCATGTAGTTTAGTTTTCACACTTACCAACACGTTCATTTACGTTTGCCGCCGCACCGGTTACCGGGGCAGTGTGTAAAAGGGCTTTAAAAGTCGATTTTAAAAGATACAGGTAGATTTTTGTCCGTTTGAGTCATCTTCTGCAGGGAGAAAAAGTATAAAATGAAATAATACTGGAGTAATTCTTAAATAGTAAATTAAATAAATAATACTTAGATATTAATATCTGCCAGATCACATTTTTGACTATGTACTCTGAAAACTAACTACTCTGAGAAGAGAAACTGATACCAACATAACATAACATCACGCCTTTTATCCCCGAAGGGGTAGGCAGAGGTGCAAGCAGAAGAAACACCCACTTTTCACTATTTATGTTATGAGTCCCATGTAATAGGGGGTGAGTGTATTGCTATATACCGGACACATTTCCAGACTCCGTGCTACTATCTACTGAATTTTATTTAAGGAACCCAGTAATACTTTTACTTGCACTTTGCGAGACCAACTAGGTCAAATTTAGGTTTAACTAAATGGTCAGTCCTATGTAAAATGTTTTTAATTAGACCCATACTAAGATTTTCCTCTGTGTGCATGGGTGCATTGAACACTCAGATATGGAACAACATTATGTGAATCACACAAATAATCGTTCCCTAAATCGAACTGTACTGTTAAAAGGTACTAAAAACATTGTTGAATTATTAAGTAATCCAATATTTAGAGGTATAATGCCACACCAAATTGACTCATAACTGAAGAACTTAAGGAAAATGAAAGAGAAGTTTTTGCTCGTCCCTCGCAACAATTAAATCATCGATGCGTGTACTCATAATAGACTAGACAACAAAAACTACATGTGGCATGTGGGTAGAATTTGAAAGTATAATCACGGTAATATCACAGGTAATAATTGTGGTAATGGTATGGAGAACCTAACGGATTACCGGGGCTCCAAGCTCCGAGGAACGCTCCCGCCTGGGTGAGGTGGGAGGGATTGTCAGACTCTTACTGACTAAAAACTACCCCGTTCCTTCTCCTGCACGTCGAGCTGGAGCTCCGGAACCCGTTAGGTTCTCCGCGACATGCGTGTAGGTGTAGCTCGCGTTTCGTCCGTTTCTATGAAGTTGGAATACTGTATGATATTGTTACCGTGGTATAATTGAGTTATGACCGTAATTGTCTTACTGTTTAACACGTTAACCGTCACCTCGGTCACTAGTGGTGAACTTCAACAGTTTACTATCGGCAGTCAAAGTCTTAAGTGGTCGCAAGCGTGACTGCTGAGCGAGGAGTCTTGGGTTTAATAATACGTTTGGATTTAGAATGGTTTTAAGGTATTATCAGATTATCAAAAAGTCTCTTGTGGAGTCTACAATTATGTACGGCGTATGTTTAAGGAACCATTCTTCACTCCTCTTGTATGGGACTCGTAACATAACCGGTGATGAATAGGTTCTACATGGCACATATACTATACACCTAGTTTATCTGGGTCTAAAAGGCTTCCAATTACGTTATATCCAAAATGCAATTTGTTCAAAAATAAAAAAAACAAAATAGCCCAACTACTCACGCATTTAAATGCATTTTAATTCAAAACAACGTCTACAGAAGATTGTTTACGGAGACAATAGACGGGGAAATGAGGCAACGATGTAAATAGCACGGTTGCCATGGTAACAGGGGGGTGGAAAGGTGCAAGGGGTTGGGTGATTAGGTTGACAGGTGACGGGGACGTCGGATGGCGGTCGCAGAGACACATTAGCGATGTGAAGTGAAGGGTTAGCTGGTAGATGTAGCTTTGGGAATCGTATGATATAAATAAATCTCTACTAATACGTACGGTAAATGTTGTGGTCGTTTTTCGTTGGTGTGTTTTGATTATTTGATTGTCTTTTGTTAGTATATTATTTTGTTTCCTCCGATAAAATACGATCAACTGCTCCAAATATACCACTGTTACTCCACATTGTATGTTACGAGGATATGTATTTTTTTTTAAGGGGGGAAAATCATCGAATGACTGCTCCCGCCTGGCTGAGGCGGGAGGAAGTGTCAGACTCTTACTGACTAAAAACCATCCCGTTCCTTCTCCTGCACGTCGAGCCGGAGCCCCGGTTACCCGTTAGGTTCTCCGCGGCACGAGGATATATATAGATGCTTTTTGTAATTCCTACACTACTACAGAGATTTAGATAGAACTTGTAACTGACATAGATTATAGTTTGGAATAACACACAGGGTAATTTTATCGTGGTAAAAAGTCGCTGGCAAAAGCTAGTCAAGCAAGTATAGGTATAAACTAAAAACCGATTCTATTTAAGAACACCAAAAGACCCAAAAGTAGAATTTTCAACGACAAAACAGCAATTTTTTCACATAAGCCAGCGAGCTTACCAGTAACAAACGCTAAATTAATTAAGTCTGCCAGGAAAAAGAAAATTAAGGTATCAACTGACTGGCCACTGCCTCGTCTGGTCGTGACAAAGCTTAAGGCAGAGTTTACACTGGCAACATGTCTTACGTTTGGAACCTTTGTAAAATAAAGGCTATATTTCTAAATCACTAACTTCTGTCCGTGTTACCAAGTGATAAAAAGAAGCCTGTGTACCATGAGCTACCTTTGTTCCAGATTTCATTTCGATGCCTTCAGTCGTTTAAACATGGTTGAGAGACAAAGACACACCAACTCACTCACAGATTTTCGCATCAATACATAGTATAAAACAAAGTCGCTTTCGCTGTATGTCCGTATGTATGCTTAGATCTTTAAAACTACGCAACGGATTTTGATGCGGTTTTTTTCAATAGATAGAGTGATTCTTAAGGAAGGTTTGTATGTATAATACATGCATATTGCACCCGTGCGAAGCCGGGGCGGGTCGCTAGTTTATAATATTCATCATCATCAACAGCCTATAAATGCCCACTGCTGAGCAAAACCTCTTCTCACACGGAGAAGGTTTGAGCATTAACCACCACGCTTGCTCAATGCGGGTTGACGACTACAGACTTATAATTAGAAATTATAAGCCTAGGTTTCCTCACGATGTTTTCTTTCACCGTTTGTCAGTGGTGTCTAGATAATCTTAGAAAGTACATATAACTCGGAAAAAGTCACATTGGTACTTGCCGTTGGTGGGTTTCGAACCTCATGCATGAAAAGCGGGCCTCTAAAACGGCCATCAAGACATTTTATAATATTAGTAAGATTCATGCCCAGTAAATTTTTGTTTCCCCTGACATGATTGGAAATATTTGGAAAATTCTTTTACTTCGACTAGTTTTAAGCAACGACGGGACTCATAAATATGACAGTTAATTGAATGGATTACGTCAGTCGTATATGTCATCGCTCATATATAAAACCACGGAATATAGAAGACAATGGAAGTAGCTTGAAACAATATTTCTGCCAGAACCGGTGTCGCCAAACTAATACATTCATAATTTACTCATACTATAAATCGGAAATTACGATTGGTTAGAAAAAAAATGGGCGTAAACGAAATGCAAAAAAAATATCATACGATATGCAACTTTAAAACCAATGCACTATAAATCAAAATAAAAAAGTATATTTTGGACTACCAAGTACCGCCATTCGTCGCTAGATGGCGTTTAACAATGCCATCTAGCGACGAAAAGTGGTACTTGGTTTGAACTTTAACGTTGTAAGAATAAAGGTGATATTTGAATGGCTTATCACTGGCTCGAATGCGGGTCTCTACTCAGATAGTGATGTAGCCTAATTCGATAAAAAATAATATCGATAATATGAAAATGTGTTTTAAAATAATATGAAAAAAAATATTGACTGCTATAGTGTGACAGTATTAAAATAATAAAATTAATATATCGATGATAACTTTTTAAACGTAACAAAAAAGTGTAAGTATTTATTTACATGTAAATCAAAAACCATTTTGTTCGTATTTTTTATTAGTTTCTTTTTTCAAAAAAAAATTTTTTATTTCACATAGGGAATATAAATAACAACTATTACATAAATTTTTACAAACTTTAGATTTGACTACATCACTATTTGATCGATCATCACTCGAACTGGCGAGAATGTTCTATTGAATGGAATAAATCCAAAATAAACATTATCTTGAAGCCGTAAGGTTGATTTTGACTAACCGTTTTAGTAAATAATTTTAATAACTGTTTTTGTAAATTGAAATAAAATAAGATTTCTACAAGAAAACAATAAAAATTGTACTTACCAACGATACGGAACACCTCCATTTTTACGATTTTTCGGCTGCTATCATTTTTACACGCCGAAACGGAACAAAACGGCATAGTTGAGGAAATATGTATTTGACACGAGACTAGCAACTCGACGCCATGTTCGAACGAGACTGAATTCGAATTTGCCTCGAATAAGCAGTACACAGCTTAGTTGTGGCACGCGTGCCACGCCTACTTGCTACTTCCATTGTATTCTAAATTCCGTGTATAAAACTATAATATTTTACAAATAGAGCCTATTTTAATGTCATTTAACATATCTCATGGTGATTATAATTTTAAAATGTTATTACTATTGTGTGTCCAGAGCCTTAAGCCGGCATTAGTTCGGTCTAGCAACTCGAAATCAGTAGTTAGCAGCTACGCTGAGGTGGCGACGCGACGCTATACACAAGTAATTCATGGTTCGTACTCTCAGTCTGTCTGCCTGTCTGTGTTTCAGTCAACAGTAGTTTAATCAGGTATTTAAGGATCGTTTGGCAGTTTTCTTTCTTTTACTAAATGTGGAGTAATTTAATGTGTTTCTTTAAGTATGTATGATACTAATACATATATCTAAAAATTATTAATAGTCCGTTGTATGTATTATATCATTTTAAAAAATTATATTAGATACTCGTTGTCAACTTATTGCACCGACCACGCTCTCACTGCATCACCTAAAGGTTGGCTAGCAAGAATGCCCATGGCATTAAGCCCGCCTATGTACTCTTGTTGCATAAAGTTAAATAAATAAATAAAAATTTCAACCGACTTCAACCTTCTTTCTTATGTCGGGTAATGTAATAAAGCCTGATCCTTTGTGTAACAAATACTTTTCTGAAATCCACATCAAAATCAGTTCAGACAATCGGATTATAAATATAATAATGTACAGATATACCAAACGGTTTAAAAAATAGTTTGAAGTACTTGAGAATTTCGAACAGAAAAAAACCAATACAATATAATTATTAGATGCATTAATATTCCCGTTGTTGTGGGGAAAACGTTTTTGTTTCACTAATTAAAGAATAAATTTGAGTAGTGGAAATTTCCTAGTTCTAACTAATTTACGAATAACTGTTTTGTCGATAAATATCTATTAATTATTGTTATAGCAATTAGCTGTGTGGTTACAGCAGAGTGGAATATATTTGTCGGCGCCTCTACTCTTCCCGCGGGTGTCGCACAGTTCATTGGCGTAACTGATCCCAGGGCCGTCTTAGACTTCGCTAGGGCCTTTGGAGCCCTTGGGGCCCTAGCGAAGTCTAAGACGGCCCTGGAAGTCATGGTCAAGCACACAATAAATTCGAGGCGTTTTTGGAAAGTCCTTTATTATTTTATTATTACAAAAAGTTGCCCCACTATAGGATTTTCTCCTTTATCGTAGATGCAATCTATAATGCATACAAGTTCACATACACATGACACCCAGACCAGAAACAACAATTTGTGGAGCACACAAAGATTTGCTCCGTGCGGGAATCGAACTCGCTACAAGTAGCGTGGCAGCCAGTTGCCGCGCAATGTGCAGCGGGGCCCCTGAAGATGGGGGCCCTGGGTACGGGGCCCGAGTGCCCTTATGGAAAAGACGGTACTGACTGTTCCATTACGCTACTCGACTGGTCTCATTAGCCACTCTAGGAACCCTAAATTATGAGCAGCTTAGGTCTTAAAGTAAAGCCCGAGTAGGCATGCCGTCATCAACAGCCTATAAATGCCCATTGCTGAGTAAAGCCTTTTCTCACACGGAGAAGGATTGAATATTAATCACCACGCTTGCTCAATGCGGGTTGGCGATTACAAACTTATAATTAGAAATTATAAGCCCAGGTTTTTTCACGATGTTTTCCTTTACTGTTTGTTATTGGTGTATAGATAGTCTTAGAAAGTGTATATAACTCGGAAAAAGTCACATTGATACATGTCGTTGGTAGGTTTCGAACCCGTACCCTCATACATGAGAAGCGGGCGTCTTAAACCTCTGGGCCACCACGACACAAGCTAGACCTATATGTACATAATTAAATGAAATATATGTTTCTCGTTACTTATAACATAAAATTAGTTAATAACCGATTTCAAAAAAAGGAGGTTCTCAATTTAACACGTACGTTTATATGTTTGTGTTATCTCGCGATTGGCTGAACCGATTTCGATGCAGTTTTCAGAAAAGCGTTTGTTCCACTTACGAGAATGTTTTAATATTAATAAATAACTAACCGACTTCGTAACATAACTACAATAGTTGGACATTGCTACCGCGAAGTTTTTTGTAGACATTATTGAAGTTCTTCAATATTGTTGTACATTATTTTGTTCTATCGCTAATAGTTTCGGCAGCGCATTCGACGAAAGACATTTTAAGACTAATTTTGTAGCATTCTATTGGTGAAAGAATTTTTTAAATCGGCCCAGTACTTTTTGAGCCTATTCATTACAAACATACAAAAATAGGTACAACTCTTTCCTCTTTATAATATTAGTATAGATGTATATTTCATAATTAAAAGTAGCCTTAACTGACAAGCATTCATTAAAAGATTGAAGCGAAAGAAATATGTAGGAATCGTTGCAATTGGCGTTCCATAGTCTCTGCCTACCCCCACGTGAGACAGGCGTGAAGTTATGTATGTATGTATTTCATAAATGATTCGTTTGATATCAATCAACCAGTTATTTGGTAATTAGTACCAATATTGTCACTGGGAAAACACCGAGAAAAACCACAATATTTTTATTGGAAAATTAGGGAATATTTTGTGATTGGCTATTAAACGAAGTGGCTTATTTACTATTTGATTATGATCATATATTATAACCTTGTTAGACAAACAAACAGACAAAGAAGCTGTTTTGTATAAAGTTTCTATCAACCTGTTCTTTTAAACCTAAACTAACCCGTTGAGACGTCGTTGATAGAATTTATTAGAAACTAGTTTTAAACTCGATAGGTTTATAGTTCAAAATCCTATGTTTCCTCAACCATGACTTCCTTGACCTCTGACATATTGCTAAGATTTTTTAAAACATTTGTGAGTACGGAACGACCGAGGGCGCCCGCATCGGTCGATCACCAATAAAAAGCAAAAATATTTTTGTTCGTGGCATATTTTAAAAATTCTTAAAGATGGTGATCGGAATTAAGGTTAAATCTCTTTGTGTTGTGTACTGTGTATGTGTATAAGGCAAAATTAGATGGAAACGGTAACTGGAAACGTATCTTAGCATTACTTTGAATTACTAAAATAATTATTAAATGAAATGGCGGTAGAAGCAGAGCAGTATTATCCCAAAGGCAAACTTAGGGTGCCAAGTCCATAGAGCGACGGGAGTGGGGGTACCAGAAAAATACAGGCAATGATGTGCTTGCCCAGGGCACTGTCTATGTATAATCCACCACTGGGTGGTAACCCTATGCAAAAGTCTTTTTTTAACATCTATAGATATCAAAAATCACAGTTCTAGTCCTCTCAACAATGGACATTACAATAACCAGAATAACTAGAGCTTTAAATAAACATTTCTGTCAACAGATTGCAGTTCTTATCTTTCTGGTAGTCATATCAGTTACATATGAACAGGATACCCCGGTGTATCCATCACCATGTCCACGTATCTATGAGTATGAACCACCAGAAACTGAGCCGGACCTCTGGTCAGCAGTCGTGTTGATATCGACAGACAGCCTCTTATACTATTTGTGGCTAAATATTGTCTTGGATCGACCGGCCTTACATTTGAGGGTAAGAAATAGACTTTAACACATCATTACTAAAGTTTCATATATAACTACTTTTTGAAAGTGTGGTTACGTTTTGAAAACCGAAACTGATGCTGAGAAAAACTCCTATTTTCTCCCATTCTTATCATTAGCCTATGACAAGTATTGGCCGCAAAAAGGAGCCAAAGAAGGCTAGGGTGACCTTTATCCTGCAGATCCTGCAGTGGGACGGTGACGGCTGAAAATAAAAATAAATAAATATCAGTCGTATATTAGCAGTACCTTACGAATTGTGAGATGAATGAATTATAGCCCTGAATCGAGTTTATTTTTGCACTAGATATACCTATCTGCCTATTACAAAATTGGTGATGGGGAAATGTGGGAGCATTGTACAACTCTGGTTCTTGCTTTAAGTAATACAATTATTATCTGTTTTCAGAATCCAGTAGGAAAAGTGGTCACAAAAAACAACATTGATTTCAGAATTGAGAGTGACATACGCATATTTCCTGGCCGGCCGATTCCACTGCGCTTCTCCGTCAAATATGATCCCGTGAATGGTGTCCCAAAACTCAAGGCCATAAGACTTAATGGGAAGGTGATTTGCAAAGATGACACATTGGAAATGTCCACAATCAAACCTGCTAGGATAACAGAACAGACCACTGCTTCAACCACCACCTCTACTATTGACTGGAATACAAATATTGGTTCTGTATCAAGTAAATTTACTAATTTCGAAGAAACTCCTTTTGAAACTTTCATGTTCAATAAAACTTTCCTACAAATGACGGGAAATCTGAACCTACCGTGAGTATCAAACAAGTTATTAAGTTGTGCCAATTCCCATCAAAATTTCATCAAAAAATATTTTACTTCCAGCTGGGTTCAGTCATTTGGAAATGATCAAGTTGGTGGAGTCCTTACAACAACTCAACGAAATCCTTGGACAACAATGAGACCTGATCCAGATGATATAGAAGACTATCGAGGGTAATTATTCATACACGATGATTCAAAGAAACTAGCGAAATGCAAATAAAATACAAAGGAATTATATCTAAGTGTTCAAGTCGTCGCGTCATATGGACCTGGACCTCCTAAAACTGTGACCAGCTACTTAAAGACAGGCATAGGCTACGCTAATTGTGAATCGCAAACTGCTAAACTAATATGGGAATTTTGACAACATCCCCCCTCAAAGGAAAGTGTTCTGCTGTGGGTGTCTTCCAGCAGAGACATTTTATGAACATCACTGCTTCCACATTATTGATGGAACCATGATGAACACCATAAACATCATTCATAATAACAAATATCTGTGCTTATACACACATGTATTTGGAATAGATAGTACCCATATTTGTACCAATCCAATCCAATTATTTTTTGTTTTTCAATGTTTATGTTGTTTGTTAATTTTCGGTGGTCCATGTCTGTTGGCGAATAAATTATTTTTCTTTCTTTCAATCCAAAGCCGTATTTTTAAATATTATAATAATATTTGCAGTTATCGTGTGGATGAGTTACATAGTACAGATACTCATTCATATGGCGGAGACATTTCCATTAGCTACAACCCTCAAGGCAGCTATACACAGGCGCCGCAACCAGGAGTCATAGAACCGGTAAGGCCTCATTAACCAGCATAATAACTGACTAATTCAAAGATGACATCATTTTATCGTTTAAGAGACAAGCAGCGTGCTAAAGATAGGGTTTTTCAAGGGGGCAATGACATCCAATGACATCTCCTACCTTGGGTAAGGAGAGAGGGATTGTCAAAACCACCCTATTCCTACTCCTACAGTCCCGCTTTTAGCTGGAGCCCCGGTAACCCGCTAAGTCATCCGTTTTCCGGTCGTGCATCAATCCTACTAGGTTCCATCTGTGTTGGGCTTTGTATGGTCAGTGTTTCTTTGCGAGATCGAATCAGGAATGAGGAGATTCGCAAACGAATGAAAAAAACTAACCAGATTAACAAATTGTATGTTTGTTAAGTATGATTATAGATATTGATGATGAAGTTTTTAATTTTGCAGCCGTGTGGTACTCCGACGGCACAGAGTCAATGGCCATGGAATGCAGCAATTTATAAACTTGAGGTAAGAAAAGTATTTCGGAATAATAATTGGTTTTTTTTATGGCATAAGCCAGTAAACGGGCATACGGATCACCTGATGGTAAGCAATCGGCGTCACCCATGGGCACCTGGAACACCAGAAGCGTTACAAGTGCGTTACCGGCTTTTTGGGGATTAGGAGTTTGAAGATCGTTGGGGATTCAAGGATTGGGGAGATTGGGGAGATTGGGGAAGGGGAGGGTAATTGGGCCTCCGGTAACCTCACTCACACGACGAAACACAACGCAAGCATTGCTTCACGTCGGTTTTCTGTGAGGCCGTGGTATCACTCCTGTCGAGCCGGCCCATTCGTGCGGAAAATGGTATGTTATGTTTATATTTGGTTCACAACAACAAAATATTAAGTTTTGGCGATCATAATTATTATAATATTCATAGTTACACACATGCTTAATGTCGACTCAGTAGACGAACATTTGATTAGACTCTTGGAAAAATTATTTAACTATTGAACTACCTTTAAATCTTTAAATGTGTTGTTCTATTTTGTAGGGAGTGAACTACTTATACAGGTGTGGAGGTACCCTAATTTCCCATAGACATGTCATCACTGGAGCACAATGCGTTCATAAGTACCAAGAAAACAATATACGTACTCTCTTTATGGTCCATCTTGGAAAACAGAATCTGCTAACTTCAAATGAGGGAGGACAGAGTGGGCTAGTAAGTATTTTTTTTAACTTCTTGGCTATTGAAAGTTGCGACCATAATGTGTTTATACCGGGAGCCGGTGTTTTAACAGATAAGAGGACAGGGCGGTAAACGAGCTCGCGGACCGCCAGATGGTAAGCAATCGGCGTCGTTCATGAAGAACATTCGCCCACTACAACAATAAATAAAGAAGTTGTACCGAAGTGCATTGTTACCACAAATTGTACGCCTCCAGGTATAGCATGGCGCTCTATTTTATTATCACTTATGTAAACAAATAAAAATTTTCTTTAATGCAATCTTAATGCTATTTTCTTTAAACCTTATCGATTTTGGTAACTACGACCCTTGGAAGCCTATCTTCTGTCGCGTGCCCTGATGTGGCTGGCAAAACTAAATTCGATCTATATAATTAAGGTCACAGTAAGCTACTGGATGCAAGTCGCATTTCTAATCAAGAAGGCTTATGTCTTGTGGCAAATATTTTTTGTTATGGGATAAGCTAGTAAACGAATAGACGGATCACTCGATGGTAAGCAATTGGCGTCGCTCATGGACGCCTGGAACACCAGAGGCGTTACACAAGTACGTTACCGGCTTTTTGGGGATTGGGAATTTCAGGAATTTGGATGATAATGATAAGTGTAGAACTAGCAGTGATATGGACCCATGACATAATTAAATGTGCATACATTAAAATGTCTCTTACTCATTTCAGGTGCAACGTGTTTTATTGCATCCGGATTTTTTATATACCGACACAGTTCAGAAGGATAATCTGGCAATTATGGAACTTTATGAACCAGTGAAGTATACTGAGTGGGTCAGACGCATTTGCCTCTGGCCTAGGCAATCCACAGAGCTAGAAAGCGTTATCGGAAAGCCGGGATGGGTAAGATAATAACCCAATAATAATATTTAATAACTAGCTACTTCCACGCGGTTTCACACGCTCTGCTCAGCTCCTTTTGGTCGTAGCGTGATGTTCTATAGCCTATAACCATCCTCGATAAATGCACTATCCAACACAAAAATAATTATTCAAATCAGACTTGTGGTTACGGAGATTAGCGCGTTCAAACAAACAAACAAACTCTTCCGCTTTATATAATAGTATAAGATAATAATATTAATATTTTGCCCGACCCGGAAATAGAACCTAAGACCCTTTGCCCGATAGTCGCACTTGCGACAACTCGGCCAACGAGGTAGTATTATGATTTACTTCTTGTTTTTTACTATTTCAGTTGTCTGGCTGGGGTTTCACGCAGAAGCATGAAGTGACAGAAACTCCACACGCAGTCGAGATGACAGTACTGAGTGATGAGACCTGCGCCTTGTCGAATCCTACTATACGACAATTAATTCCAAATAAAACGAGCAAAAGATTCTGCGCTATGAATAATGAAACAGGTGACTTAATACCTACGTAATCTACCTTACTACTTATAAATGCTAAAATTTGTTAGTATGCATGTTTGTGTGTCTGTTTGATACACAAGCATTTAAAAACGGCTAAAGGGTTCGTACACAAAACTGCGATGCGGCGTCGCATCGTAAAAATGTGCGAGCTCCCTATACGCATCATAAGAACTTCCGAATTGATTTGCATCGCCCATCAGAATATTATCTTCCCAAAAACTTCTTTGTTTATTTTTCCTGTATCTCCTAAGCAATAACAGAAGTGCACACTTCTTTTTACAATCCATATCCCGACCTAGTTTTCAATTTAAAATACGTTTAGTTCGGTTGACGGTCGTCGAAGGAATGGCCACCCTGGAAGACGCCTTGTCGCACGAAATCGCATCGCAGTAATTCGTGTCGTAATTTTCTGCGTTGCAAATTCGCATCGCATAGCAGTTTTGTGTACGGGCCCGAAGGGATCGGTGTAAAATTTGGTACAGGGGTAGATTTTGGTCTGGTATAACATGTAGGCTACTTTATATCCCACGGGAACGCGGGCAAAGCCGCTGACAGAAACTAGTACTTAACATTTAAACTGAAGCGTTTGTTTGTTTATTTGAACGCGCTAATCTCAGGAACTAATTGGAATGATGACGGGGTATGAAAATTAAAAATCTATTTAATCCATAAGTTAGGTAACGAAAAAATATTAGACACGTTTTTTTTATTTTAATGTATAATAAAATAATACTTAGATATAACGAATCAAAGTTTAGGAGTGGGGGCTAAAACGTCATTTCTACGTATAAAATGTACACATAAGTGACGTCACGTGACATTTCAAATCAATATATCGTAGCAAGCATTAGATTTTGTTACAAAATAAAAAAAAAACATGTCTAATGTTTTAAAATTATCTACCAAACGGACATTAAAATAAAAATTAGGCATCTACTCTATTGGTTTTGGATTTGAAAAAATCTTTTATCAGTATTTTACTTTGTCATCAGCCCTTCTATTATATTGTAAGTGTGGGAGAGCCATGCTTCGGCACGAATGGGCCGGCTCGACCGGAGTGATACCACGGCCTCACAGAAAACCGACGTGAAGCAACACTTGCGTTGTGTTTCGTCGTGTGAGTGAGGTTACCAGAGGCCCAATTACCCTCCCCTTCCCCAATCTCCCCAATTCCTGAATCCCCAACGATCCTCAAACTCCTAATCCCCAAAAGGCCGGTAACGCACTTGTAACGCCTCTGGTGTTCCAAGTGTCCATGAGCGACGCCGATTGCTTACCATCAGGTGAACCGTCTGCTCGTTTACCGGCTTATGCTATAAAAAAAAATATCTTCCACTTCTTTTTCTTCTACTTCTTAGGTAAATCTGTAAAATGATCAAAATTAATTTGTGATTTTTTTTAGATTCGGTATGTTTGGCGGCGAGTTCTGGCAACGGTCTGTACTACAAGCTGGGTCAGAGATGGCATCTGCGAGGTTCCGTGAGCATTGTACTCAAATCCAAAGACCCTGCCAAGAAAATGTTAATATGTGATCCCTCACAAATATTCATATTTACTGACTACGCTAAATATTTACCGTGGATTCGTCTGTTTATATACGATTTGTAATTTTAATTCGTTAAACAATATATAGTTTAAGGAACTTTTTATCTTGTTGCTTCTTTTATTATTGCCTGATTACTAGTTGACCTGGCATACTACGTACCGACTACATTTTATTTTCTCACCTTTGAAACCTTCCCTGGACTTCCAGGATTATTTAAAGACCAAAAATTAGCCAAATCGGTTTAGCCTATGTCGAATTTTAGCGATACTAACGAACGAAAACTCATTATTATTTATATAGACAACATTAATTAGTTTAATAACATAATACTAACAAAAGTTTGGACTGTCTCGCTGGCCGAGTGGTCGCAAGTTTGACTGCCGGGCAAGGGTTCTCGGGTTCGATTCCCGGGTAGGACAAAGAATTACTGGGTTTTTTAAAAATTCTCAGTTGTAGCACGGAGTCTGGAATTGTGCCTGGTATATGGCAATATATATGGTCTGCCTATCCCTACGGGGATAAAAGGCGTGATGTTATGATGTTACTAACAAAAGTTGGTCTGGCAATTTGTGAGATTGGTGGGTAAAACATCGAAGTTAATAGCTGTAATCAAATAAATGAAAAAATATGGCATATATAAGGAAAACTGAGTCCCATGGGAAATCATTAATATCGTATAGCTCAAGTATAGGTACCACTTAAATTTAATAAGGTTTACAGCTAGAGTATTTTACCTTTAAATAGATTAGTTTCCATTGATCAGTTTGGCTATGGTATTTTTTATGGAATAAGCCGGTAAACGAACAGACGGATCACCTGATGGTAAGCAATCAGCGTCGCCCATGGCCACCCGGAACACTAGAGGCGTTACAAGTGCGTTACCGGCCTGTTAGGGATTTGAGGATTATTGGGGATCCAGGGATTGAGGAGATTGGACAAGGGGGGTAATTGGTCCTCTAGTAACCTGCTCCAGGTCCACAGGAAGAAATTCTAATAGGAATAGGTGGTACCTTTGTACTTTAATTTTATGTATGTGTTGTCCTTTATGTTGTATGTGTGTACATAAATAAATAAATAAATAACCTTACTCACACGACGAAACACAACGTAATCACTCCCGAGGTCGAGCCGACCCAGTTGTGCCGAAACATGTCTCTCCAACACTTAAAACAGGTATAAGGCGGCAAATGAGCATATAGATCACCTGATGGCATCCAATCCGCGTCGCCCATTGACAGCCGTGAGACCAGAGAGTTTTTGGAGATGACAGATTTGAGAATTATAATAAATTCATTTCAAAATATTTTAGGAGTTATATATCAATTAAAAAAAAAATAGGAATGTATGCAAGTATTCAAGTATGGATATTTTTCTCCTTCCAGCCAATAAGAACTTATTTCACAACAAAATTAATTCGCTTTACCGAACCGAGAAGCTTCTTGCTAGTGTTATCCATCGGTGCTAGGGATGTGCCGATGCTATCTTACAGAATTTATCGATATTTTGAGAACTTTTCTTATCGATACCCATTAATATTTTGTTTGTCATGTGTTCATAAGTTTAGTAACCTATTGAATTTAAGAATATTATTTCAATCTCCAGATAATTTAATAAATAATATTTAATCTAGATTAAGAAAAGTATTATTTTATATTTCTTATTAATTGATATAAATAGTTTTAATGTTTTAATATTGATCAAAGGATATATCGTATTGATTTTACCACAATGAAAGCTCAAAGAATATTTCTTTAACAAAAATGGCGAAAATATAGCAAAGGATGTAATCAAAAATATAATATCGAAACCTTTTCCTGCCGAACAGAGGTGTACGTACGGAATCCATTGTATGTGCTTGACAAGTTGACGGGTCCATCGGAAATGCAATTTTCACGTACTTGGATTCTATAGTTGTGGCCTGTGGGTGGTTGTGGATTCACTATTCACCTGTCAAACTTTCATAAACTACGATTTAGTTTTACAAAATTTTGACGTGGACGAAATTGTGAGGTTGAAATCTGGTTTTATATTTCTATGACAAAATGAATGGCAATATTACAATATATCATTAATTTACTTTTTGCACATGATTTTAATGATCATATTTTATTAGATATAGGGTGGGTTGCCAGAAACTGGGCACAATCCAGAGCCCATCTCCTATTAATCATTTTAAATTAGTAACATTTAAATTATACACCAACCCGAGGATCAAACCTTCAATCTCTTAGCAGTCATAGTGAAGGACACTAATCGACTTTATAATCGTATAAAAAGTGAAAAACAATTCATCGATTTATATCGATAATTGATTTCAGTACATAAGTAACATCACTAATCTTTCGCAGCTAATCTTCCATCGACATTCTGAGACGGATGGAAGGCGTTTGATCAGACCGATTAGCGACCGCAATTTCTAAAACAACACACATCAATAAAGAACCTTATCACAGTAGAAATAAAACCTACTGTCTATTGTTCCCGACTTCAAGAAATCTACTGCGAAAAACTATTAGAACTATTCAAGTTAGAACTCTAAATTTTAAGTTATAAGGTTGAAAGTTCTTTGATCTTTGCACAAAGAACCGACTCAAAGCTCAGGATACGATTTTCTTATAAGTTATCCAGTATAAAATGATCTCTGTATCGTAAACAGAATCTTTGAAAAGCGGTTAATTCAGTGGATCTTGACAAGCTGGACTTCGTTTCAGTATTAATTACTATAGTTTTAATAATTTAAGCCGCCTTTCTTCCATTAATGAGAGAGATCAATGTTGTTATTTAATACTTGGACTAGTTACAATTAGTTAGGTTTTAATAAAACGACATTATTTTTGGGACCCGGGTACGTTTTAAAACTGCGACCACACACCAAGGAATAGGGAACAGCATTCTGCAGAAATTATCGGTGCGTGCGTGGTGGGTTATGGGGAAAATATTCCCCCCTTAGGGGAGGACTATGTTCAGCAGTGGACGTCCTATGGCTGACATGATGATGATGATGTTATCTTGAAGACGTAAGAAATCTTATAAGTCTTGATGGTAATCACTGACTAGCTAGTTTTATATAACATCACGCCTTTTATCCCCGAAGGAGTAGACAGAGGTGCACATTTACAGCACTGAAAGCCACTGTACAATGTAATACTTTTCATTATTTATGTCATGAGTCCCATGTAATACCCAGAGGGTGAATCCTATTGCCATAATATACCGGGCACATTTCCTGACTCCGTGCTACTACTGAAATATTAAAAAAAACTCTGTTTTACTTTGCCCGACCCGGGAATCGAATCACAAATCGACTTAAAATTGAGTAACGTTTCAGTATTCCGGCATTAGTTAGTTTAGCCCGGACAAACAGACAAAAATTCTAAAAACTTTATTTTAGGCTTCCATATCGATTGTGGATCACATCTCAAGTACTTTTCATTTTTTTTTAAATATTCAATGTACATTTTTGACTTTCCTACGATTGTATTATATGTGTAGATAGATAATAATATAAAAGTAATTTATACAGGTTTTTGAGTTTACCTTTAATTTGGCTCTTCTTAGTAATCAGTACCCTTAACCGACGAGAATGCTTTATAAGATTGATGATAAAGCGAAAGAGGTATGTAGCAATGGGGAATGAAAATTAAAAATATAATTAGTCCGTAAGTTACCTAACTTACTTAATTACCTAATTAAAAAATATTAGACACGTATTTTTCTATTTTGTCGTATAATAAAACAATACTTAGATAAAATGAATCAAAATTTAGGAGTGGGGGCTAAAACGTCATTTCTACGTATAAAATGGACTGCCTCGTTGGCCGAGTGGTCGCAATTGTGCGACAGCCGGGCAAGGGGTCTCGGGTTTTAAAAAATTCTCAGTAGTAGCACGGAATCTGGAAATGTGCCCGGTATATGGCAATAGGCTCACCCTTTACATGGGACTCATAACATAAATAGTGAAAAGTGGGTGTTATTTCTGTGTGCACCTATGCCTACCCCTTCGGGGATAAAAGGCGTGATGTTATGTTATGTTAAAATATACTGAGAAGTGACGTCACGCGACATTTCAAATCAATATAATAGTAAAGATAAATGTAAGTGGAATAAATAAAAAAAAAAAAAAAAATATATCTTCGAAACTATTCGTTTCCGTAAGAAAATAAAAATACGTGTGTAATGTTTTAAAATAATCTACCAGGCGGACATTAAAATAAAAATTAGTCGTCTACCCTATTGGCGTTCCATAGTCTCTGCCTACCTCCGTGTAAGACTGGCGTGAAGTTATGTATATAATTATGTAGAGGTATGTTATGTATGTGTGACCTACTAAGTAAAATTTTTCGAACCCGCTATTTCGATGTTAAAACAAGAAAATAAATAAAATAGTTACCCAGAACTTAATCCTAACACCATCAGTAGACCTTAATCCTAAAAGGTTCCAGAGAAGGTTTTTATTATTTTCATCATATATTTTCTACACTTTCGTAGAAAAATGTACCGTATCTATTTGATAACCATTTGGGGATAAAATACCTACTTAAATATATTTGGGGTATTCAATTCAATCTGATATAGTCCACTTTAGTTTTTGAATATTTAAATGTGGTGTAACTGCTCAAAATACTTCGATTTTGAGCAGTTTCAATATTCTCCACGTGAGAAGAGGCTTTTCAAAAAAATGTCAAAAAGTCAAAATCATTTATTCAATTAGGCCAGAATAGCACTTTTGAACGTCAACAAAAAAATAATAAGAAGTGAAGCTATTTGCTCATTCCAAGGTGTAGATTCCTATGGAGAAGAACGAGCAAGAAACTCCATAGGTTACTCGTTTCCAATCAGGTTCACAATACAATTTACTAGTTACATAGTTTTGCTGTTTGGATTATGCGAGAACAATGTAACACTAAAATCCAGTCAAAAGGATCAAAAAAGAAAGTAACCTTAAGGACAATAATATTGTCTGGAGCTGACCAGTCGTAGTTGACGGCGCCCGTTCACGAACATGACACGTATACCAGCACCGCCCAACTCAACCATATTGTAGGGAATCGAGCGATCCACTGCACGCGCCACCGCCAATGTCACCTTTGAGTGA